TTCTCTGTCTGTCTGTCTGACACCCCACCCCAACCCACTATCTTCTCGCTCTGGCTGTCTGACACCCCCCCAATCCACTCTCTTCTCTCTGTCTGTCTGACCCCCCCAACTCACTCTCTTCTCTCTCTGTCTGTCTGACACCCCCACCCCCCAATCCACTCCCCACTCCTGTCAAACCAGATGTACTCTTCAGTTCCTCAGACCCTTGCTGAGAGACGGCCTCTCTCCCCCCGGTTTCCGCAGACCGACATGTACCGGAGCGTCCCAGATTTGTCAATGGCACCTTGTTTCTTAACGGGACTTCACAATGGACCAGTCTGCCGCTTCAAGACAGAGCTTCCGTTTTATGAGTATCCTTTAGCCACACCATGCCGAGTTAATTACACAGTGAAATTAATATTTAATGCTATTTGTTTCATGTATTAATAATTGCAAATATAAGCAGGACCTGCTGGAGTAACACTGTATCTACCACTGTCTCAATACAGACCCAGTACCTACTGATGTTCTCAAAGTGACATGTTACATTGAGGTTTCGATGTTGTCTCCCCTCAGATCTAACGTGTTGTTCCATGAGGGAGATAGATGTATACCTATATTCCCACACGGAACTGAAACACCCACCGTTTCTCTGAGATTGCCTCCGACGGGGCTGTGTAAGGAGAGGTTTGCAGTTGAGACTGGAGGGTAGTGTCCTTGGCTGTGTAAGTCGGGTTTTCGCTGTACCTGCGGGCAGCTACACAGCTCCGGGGTCTGTCCTCATTCAAACCCAGTCAGGCGCCTCTGCCTCGTCAATCCCGGCAGGACAAGGACTGACAGGGAGAGTTCGGAGGATCTCATTGAGTGTGGGTAATTTTTCATTTACGAAAAATCTGAAAAACGATGGGGGTCGGGGGAGAAGGAAGCACAAGAGGCCAGAAAAGATATAGTAAAGAAACAGTTTGAAGATGATGCTGAAAATTACTGGAGCCCTTTCCCCTTCTGTTTTTAAAGGTCTCATCAACTTGATTTTGTCTGTGAATATAATCTTGTTTAATTGGTCGATGTGATTTCGAATCTGGAGTACTCAGTGACTCGTCTCCTTCTGCAGGCGGAATATCCGACTTTTCAATGACTCCCTCAGATCACTCGAGGCTCACTGCTGCAGAGTTGATGAGACTTTTACAAAAAGGGAGCTAAAGGCTCTGGTATTATTTCACACGATTTTCAGAACCTCTTTCTTTAAGACCTCCTGGACTCGCCTTTGTGGTCAAGTTGGTTGAGACCTAATTCTTAAACTGGTCTACTTTAGTTTCCACAAATATCAACAGGATGTTTTGGCAGCTGACAATTCAGTCATTGCTAATTCCAGCGGCCTTTGGTGATTACAGTTCTCCTTTTCAAAGTGGGGCAATGATTCGCTCGGAATGGTATCAGTAATTGTTTCCACATTTATTGGTTTATTTATATTAAGGACTGTCTCTGGACGTTGTATTGTTTTATCATGTTCTTGAATAATTCCCCTATCTACAAGACCATCTCTCGATGCCTTCCCTGGGTCTGTTAAAAGGTCCGCTTTGAGGACAATGTTGTAGCTAATTGCGAACTGTCGGCCTTGCACAACATGACCTTTTACAAAAAGAAGCCGGAAGCTCGTATGGTCTGTGTCTTGCACAGAAATCATTTATTGCAAATCATAATGATGCTAGCAATAACACCCTCGACTACGAACACCGTATCTTATTTTCCTGTTTGAGCGTGTGCAGTCTTTGTTCTGAAGTTTATTTCTTAAAATAAAGTCTATTGTTGCAATTATAAAAGAGATCTTTCTTTGCAAGTCAGTTTATATTTTGTTTGGATTCCAACTCACTTGTGACTGACCTATCTTCGTGAACTTGAATTACCTCGGCCGTCAAGAAACACTCGATGAAGTGTTGTAGGCGATTGAATATTCCCTATAAACAGCAAAAAAAACGCTTTAGGTCTCACTGGGCATCTGGATGCAGTATGAGGTTGGCCTTGCGTTATTTTCCGGTGAGGATAGAGTTCAGGTTTCCGTTACTTGCTCATCTGCCGACGCCAGAGCTTCCCTGAATAAAGGTGAGGAAAGTTGTGTGATTTCGCTGTGGCCATGAATCTTGCCCTGGGTTAAGAGCCTGGCGGTATGTTTGGAACAGTAAATCTGCCTTCAGTAGATGTTCTGGAGACCCCTTCACTCCAGTAAAACGGCTCTGCTGTTCCCATCCCCAGGGCCTGGAGGAATCCTACCTGCTTACTCAAAGGGGAAAAAACCAAAGCAGATGGCAGGGAATCACTTGTCACCGCCCATCTACATTGGCGAAGCTCCTGATAAGTTCAGAAGCAGCCACGCTATTCCTCTACGCTGTGCTAACAATCATCGCAACTTGCTGCCTTATGTCTCTCCCTTAGCGATACCCATGCGGTGGGCGAATTCAGGCGCCTTTGAATACCCAGTGCAATCGTTAATTCACCAATTGGTGTCTATTGGTCTCCATGGTTTTTCAGAGTATGTCAGTCCATTCATAAAACCAAAGACATCCCTCCTGTCTGCAGGTGCTGGGACAAGTTGCAGTTCTCCACTTCATTGTTGGACGAGACACATAAACCAGGTGCCAATAAAGGAAATCCAATTTATTATCTTGTACAGGCCCTGGTCCTACAGGATTGTCGAGATGTATAGCATTCCCAAAACAAATTTGTGTGCGTCTCCATTCCTTCATTGCCCCTGAAGTTTCTGCACACTGCTCAGGTACCACAAGAGGGACAGGGAGTGGACTCAAGCGGAATTCACTCCCAGGTGAACTCTGAGAGTTTACCCATTACAGTATCTTGTAGGTGCAGAAAATACTGATTACAGGCTGCAGCGCGAACGTGCGCAACCTCCATTACTATAACATTCTACTTTAACCAGGCACGTCCAGAGAGTGACACTGAAACTCCACAGTAATATTCTTGCGGAGTGTTAGTTCTGTACTACATTGCAGTGTCTCTGCTGCGGCATGCACAGTTAGAGAGGCGGCGATAGAGTCACTCGGCAAATAAATCAGGACATGGGATAATGTTCTGGGCACAAGGGTTTGAATCCCACTGTGGAAGATGGCGAAAATTAAAACAACTGGATTTTTTTAAACAAAAAAGCTAGCTTAATGGACACTGTAACAGCTGCCAACTGAAGTGAAAATCCTTTTGTGTTCACTGACGCCCTTTAGGGAAGGAAATCTGTCAATGCTACCTCGTCTGGCAGACACGTGGCTCCAGCAATATGATTGACATCCCTGTGGGCAATTAGGGGATGGACACTAAATGCTGGTTTAGCCAGCGACACACACACACACACACATCGTGAATAAAACAAAACGTTCTTGCCCTCTCTGTCTGTCCACGTCTTACATCCCTGGAGAATTCTGAGGATATGTGACTGACAGTTTTGCAGTCCAGAGCTCACTATTCGGCTTGTTTCTTTCTTTCTGATAAATAAACGCCGTCATTGCCCAGACCAGTTTTATTTTTGTGATTGTTTTCGAAGCCCATTCCCACTAGCATTACAGATTTGCACTTTCCCGGAATACATTCAAAATTTGCTCATCATTCACCTTAGGGATCACGAAGTCTTTGAATGGTTCGAAACTATCATAACTTTATCTTAAAGAAAAGTGACATTTCAAATCTCACGCAGGCTTTCAATTTCAATACACGCTGTGGACACATATCCGCGCGACGAACTTCCATTCAAGTGTAGCTTTCTTATTCTGTTTGCTCCATGTCTTTCCACAGGCAAATTTATGTATCGGTTACAGTCAAAAATATTTCACTCTGGGAAATAGCGAGGAAAACAGGAATACGTGGTCAGCAATCCAGCGGCTGGAAGGATAGATAGGATCAAATGAATTAGGACAGTAAGCCGCTAGGATGGGGTGTGAACTAGAACACATCAGTTAGGGCGACAGAACTGCTTCTGAACTGTACATTCTCCGTAATTTAACATTTTACTTCTGGAAGGGTTTCTCTGGGTGTCTACTTGTCTACGCTGAACAAAGATTTCAGTCCCTTTGTGGCAAACAAATAGAGACTATTGTAAAGACGGGGAATGCGACGGTGTCTGGACACTTTCAATGTACAAACTGCCTGAACTCTGCACCTTCCCATCAACGGAGTACGCTGTTGAATTGGGAATAGAATCACTTGTGCGCTAAAATTATGAAAAACACCAAGATTCATACTGATAAAACTCCAACTATACACAAACACTACCTTTTTTTAATTTTTAAAACAAAAGAACCTGCAGTTTTCCCTTTTAGTTTATTTTGCTTCGGGTTTGATACTTCTTTGTAGCTTTGTTCATTCGCTGTTTCATTTCCATCACAACTTGAAATAAAGTGTAGAAAGAGAATATTTTCCTGAACAATTTTCTTCTAATATTTAGGGAGACAGAGATCTTTAAAAAGACCTAAAACGGTTCTATTCTCGAATCCCTAAAGCATTGTGATGATAAAAAATTAATGTAATAGCCGAAGTATCTTGTGAATATTTTACTGGAGAATTTCAATGAGTCAGACATCAAAGCCGAAGGTAGGATAAAAATGATCTCAAACTCAATC